ATCTTCTAATATAGATGTTTTTATACATGCAGCAACTCCCTTCTCCTCATGTAATTCTATTCTGGGGAGCTGCCTAGCTTTCATCTTCATGGGCAGGGTTTGCTGGTTGCAGTTCTAACAGGAACCCCCTTTAAGTGGAAACAAGCTCTGATGTTCAGCTCCCATACCAGCAAAAAGCTGCTTCTCTGCATGACTCTCTCATCTCCTGGGGTGCCTGCAGCCCAGACAGATTCCAGACAACTGTCTCCAGCCTGCTGCTCCTGTTCACAGGCAGGGTCTGGCTCCCTCCCAAGCCTTGTCTTGTCTGACCCACGACTGCCAACTCTGGGATTTTATTGCCAGGATCATGGTATTTGTTGTTTTTCTTACTGTCCGTGTTCCTAGACTGAGAAAACTTATTGGTCATTCAAAATTAAAATGAGATTCGGTTCTTCCTGAAGGCAAAGAAAATCTTGAAAAGCATGATATTTTGTGTCTTGTATAACTTGCAGATACATATATATAATTTTAAAATATTTGGGTTTTTTTAAGCCTGTCTTGTGATGGTGAAAAGTGAGCAAAGTTATTTACACGTTAATTAGCAACACTGCTGACACGAAATATTATTTCCTTGTCTGGCACTCCAGATATTCTGTCGCATTTTGGCAAGGCAGAAGCTGCAGCTCTGATGTGGTGGTTTTTACATTCCATGCCCATGAAAAAGCCCTACACCATGTAGGAGGGCAACAGCCTTGCAGAGCCATGTTTCAGGGCACCTTCTCTCAGGGAAGGAGTGCCATGGCAGAGGGGCGAGGCTCAGCATCAGCAGGGAGGACACGGCAATTCTAAAATCCTACCACGTGTGCCAGAGTTGTGCCCAACACAAGGACCCTCCTGCCCAGCTGACCTGTTCAGGTTTCATGATCCCTTTAGGGAGGTACTTACACAGCTCTGCACTAGACACTACTAGCAAGAAAACCATGGAGATAATAATTAAAACCAAATTATTTCCAGTGCTCCATTGATATATTGTTCTGCATTAAAAAAAAAAAACAAGTTACTCAAATAATGAACAAAAAAGTCTAAGTGGCTTTCACCTCCATTATCTTTTCTGGAATGGAAGCTTTTAAACATTTAGTTTAATGAAAGACTGTTTGCAAAAATAAAAGATGGTTTTATAAAAATGTCAACAAAATAAGTCATGCAAAACCAACAGGCTGCTTTGTGCTTTTCTTTTAATGGGACATTTTTCATTAAGACAAACTTATTTTTCAAGATCATTTCAGGCAGCTCTCCAAATTCCAGGAGGTTTTGTTTTATTCAAATTGTTTCAAGCAGTCAATGATCCTGGAAATGATGATTTTTTTTCTTAATAGGAAAGGGATTTTTACATACAGTGAAAATATGGAAGAGAAAGCTGGACATTAGTTAACAGACAATGATATCAGTGTCAAGCCAAATCAGAAGGGTACAAAACCACCAGGGAATTATTAAGACACCTGGTGTGACAGAAAGGTTTCCATTAGATACTGGACAATGAGGTGAAATTTATGTGCAGATGGAAGTAATTCATGCACATTTGTTACACAGAAGATCATTATTTATCGCTAATAAATGAGCATATTTGATGTATCTAGTCAGTATTCAAATACTTAATATGTTTTAAGAGCACCTAGGGTATATTCTCTGTAGCACAACTCATTGCACTCAGGAATTCTGTCAAATTACACGGAGCTGCAGTGAAATGCTGGATCATAAAACAAAGGTAGTAGTAAAGCAGATGGAACAATTAAAAAAAAAATGACAAAAATTTTCTCCACTTTCTCCTCTACCTCTTTCCACTTGTCCAGAAATAAGTATTGGGATGTTTCTGTTCAGTATCATTAATTTTATCATACAAGATGAGAGGATAAAAAGCTCCAAATGACATTATGGTCACAATGTACAGATTTTACAATATCAAAGATTAGCAGCATCTTTTTTTTCATTGTGGATTTCATAGAGTTATAGAATTGCTTGGGTTGGAATGGACCTTAAAGGTCATCTAGTTCCAAGCCCCCTGCCATGGACAGGGACAGCTTTCACTACACTAGGTTGCTCAAAGCCCCATCCAACCTGGCATTGACCACAGCTCTCTGGCTGCATCTGTCTGGCCAATTCCTTATTCACCAATCAGTCCAGCCCTTCAAAATCATCTCTCCAATTAAGAGATAAGGATGTTGTGTGGGACTGTGTTGGAAGCATTACAGAATTCCAGGCAGATGGCATTGGTTGGTCTTCCCTTGACCATTGCAGTCACTCCACCACAGCAGTCACCAGACTGGTCAGGCACGACCTGCCCTTGGTGATGCCTCAGATCCCCCCTCTGTCACATGCGCACATCAACATCGCTTCCATGAGGACCTGCTCCAGGCTCTTCCCAGGCACAGAGAAAAGACTCACCAGTCTGTGCTTCACTGGCTCTTCCTTTCTCCCTTTTTTAAAAATAGGAGTGACGTTTCCTTTTTTCCAATCTCCAAGACTGGCCTGACTGCCATGACTTTTCAAATATGACCGAGTGGCTCAGCAATGCCATCAGCCAGTTCCCTCAGGACCCTGGGATACATTTCAATACAGGAAAATTTGTCCCCGTATTGTTTCTAATTAATTCTCTCCCTATTCCTTCTCTTTTATGAGTAGTTAGGATGCCTTTAAAGGACCACTTTTCAAAACATCTTTTATCTGTGCTTGCTTGTGGAGGATGTTGTTTGACAAGGTTAACCTCTGTAAATCACTTCCAACCTGAGTTATTTTGTGTTCCACAGGCACAACTTCCTGAGCAACTGATATATCTTGGGGGAAAAAAGGCTGGGCAGCTCTTAAAAGATTTAAACAGTGAGTTTCTTGAAAGATCTAGGAATGAAAAGAAAATCTGACTACTCCTTTAGTATAGCCTAAGCTACAAAGTACTGAGAATTTCTATGAAAAACCACACCTGACATTTACAACCACATTAAAGCCCACTCAGAATCAGCACTGCACTGTTTCTGTCTGTTCACAGGATAAGGTGCTCTGTGTTTTTCCTGGGAAAAGTACTTAACTGGAAAGCATTTTGTGACTGCACTGTGTGACCCTTCCTGCTGAAGGCCACTCAACAGCAGCAGGAACTGCTCTTCAGTAGCTTTTCCTAAGAAAAAAAGATTGGGTTTAAGACTTTCTGCCTCTGGTTGCTTCCTCTCTCAAACTGTCACCGTGAAAGTAAAAGAAAAATTTGATACCCATTCCTCTGGAAGAGTTGAATTCCCCTCACAACCTCCCAAGATCACAAGTGCTAAGTGGAGATTATATCAAAACTTTTTAGTATTAGTGGATTTACCATGAGGCAGAAATCATAGAAACCTTCCTGGAAAGGGGTTTCTGGATGGGTTAGTCATTAGGAAGTACAGAAGGTAAATTCCAGGAAGGATTTATATGGCCCTGGGACAGTTTTCTTGACCCATGAAAATATGGATCATTTTTAGAATATATGTGGGACATTTTTAGAATATATATGGGGCGTTTTTAGAATATATGTTCCAATGGCATTGGACAGATAAAACCTACAACAGAAGCCTCTTTAGGAGAACTGCTTTGGGGGCTGAGTGCATGTATGCAGGAATACATACATACACTATTATTAATTACAAGCTTCCATAATTCTATATACTATCTGTAAAATTTAGCCTTTGCTATTCATAATTATACAGGTATACTTAGGAAATCATTGCTATTTGGAACCTTAAACCAGAGCTGGGAAGAACAAAGGGTAAGTACAGGACAGGACAGGACAGGACAGGACAGGATAGGGGACCATGCCCTAACCCACACTTTCTGCCCTATTTCAAGAAAACTTGCATTGCTGGTCCCAAACTGTGCACAAATTCCCTTCAGCTGAGTAGACACATACCCTTAGAGGGGGAAATTTTATGGAGCCAGCTTCCTACATAATTGGACATGCATAGTCAATTCAGAAAGATGTGTCCTTTTTTCACCATTTACCTTACAGAGACATGGGATAAGTTCAGTTATAAACTACTTTAACAGTTCTGGGATGTATAAAGTGGATGGTTGTTATTTCAACCACTCAACTGGAAAAGTAAAAACATAATAATAACATAGTATCTTCATTTTAGAATTTTTAGGAATTCATGGGGAGATGGAAAGAGACTTCTTTCTCAAAAATATTTTGAAAAGGCATCTCAGATCACACAGACTCAAACACAAGAAACCCAGAACAATGAGAGCAGTTCAAGAGACTGGGCTCTTCTTTGACACTATCATCTCACAACTTCAACACTATCAATGCTAATCTTCTATAGTCTCAAATAAGGAGGCTGAAAGAAAACCAAAATGGAAGCTTTCTTAAAGCCCAGCAGAAAGTACAGGGAACCACAGACTTTTCTGTTTGGCTGCACACGTTTGAGTAAAAATGAATGAATGAAGGCCCACTTCTTCCATCTCCTATAATGCTATTGAGTACTACTACTAAGCAGTTTCATGAGGAGTTTTACAGTAAATAAATGGATAAATAAGACTCTATTCTTGGAATCAACCCTGGAAAACATTTTTTTAAATACTGGCAAGAAATTTTTTGTAATTTTATGAAGATATTTACATATCTTCATATATATTTTCACATATATTATTTCATATAAATAAATATCTTCATAGATATTTATTTATTGAAGATATCAGTATTAACACTGATGAGATATATATATATGTGCTTTATTTTTACAGTATGAAAAAATAGCTTTGCCTTGATTAGGGATGTGTTCCAAAATGCTCCTACATAGTCCTACCACCACATATACTGGATGCCTCATTATAGTTCAGGAATAAACCATCAGGAGCACTCCCACATTTGCAATCACCACCTGAGCAGATTCCCTACCACAGAATACTCTGGGATGGGTGTGCCTCAGTCTTTTTGGTTAAGGCAGTTATGCTCACCTAAAATAAATAGTGAATAAAGCAGCAAGGTGTTCCCTAAAATTGTGATATTCAGTAATCTTTTCTCACTTAGGGAGTATTTATTGTACAGAGTTAAATGGTTCAAACTCATATAACATAGTTCTCCACAACACAGAACTTCAAAGTTCACCCTTACAAGTGTAACAAAGGGGGCACTGAAATTTGTGTCTTTGAAGTTCAGGATTTCTAAGATCTATCTTCTTTCTCTATATGAATTGCCTCATTTCCATGAGGCATTTCCATTCACTCTTGTCAATCTAGTCCTTTGCTTCCAGATTTCCTGTGTTTATAGACACAAGAAAAACCTCAGCATTTCAAATCAAACAAAAGCTTCTGTTCAACCCCAAATCACTGGTTTCACTCATACATACAAATCAAAATTTGGGTGTTGGTCCATTGGGCCAAAAGGAAATAGAGACATTTTTTGTATTACTGGCTTCATAGGCATGCAAATTTTGGACTTGAAGTACAGCATTGAGCCAACATATATTACCACAAGTCAACTATTTTAAACAGTATAAAGAGCCCAGGACTCCACCTTGCTGAAGAAGCAGTAAGTGAACAATTATTTGGGATAAATGCTGAAATCTTTAAATCAGATTCACTCTGCCTTTTGCTTCTGATAGGCAAGGAAATACAGGTAAACACAATATTCCCTACCCCTCCAAGGCAAAATCCAAGTACTAGAACCGCCTTCTACAATTGCAATGATGCTCTGCACAGGGTTTGGGCATATTAAGACTTTTTGTTGTTTAAAGACCAGTTAACAGAGGGTTTCAGGGACCAGTTGTACACTTTGATCCTTTTGATGCGAAAACTTTTATGTAACAATAGAGTTTGGAAGAACTCTTGCACTGTGTTCTCCTTTTATTAGCTTAGTCCTGAACAATGTATTTGTGCAATGACTCAGAGGAAAGGACTGCCTCTTGAATGTAAAGACTACACCAGGCAACATGCTAGACCAATGGTCGCCTCAACTGACATCCGGAGCCATCGTCCAACTCTTTTTGGCTCTGTGACATTTTGAAGTTAAGTAACCTTTGAGTGACTGGTTGAAAATTCAGATCTAGTAAAAAAAATAGCTCATATTATATTCTATAAAGGGAGCTCATAAGAGAGGGAACCAGCAACAGAGGCTACCACAAAATTCCTGTTTAATATGAGACTATCCATGCTGACTAAAGTAGAATGGGCATTGTACACTGGATTTATTCTGGGCATGAATTTTGTCAGTCTCAGAATTAGCCCCACGTGACAGGATGTTGAAACCACTGAGTTAAATCAAGCATCTCACACTTCTCACGCTGCTCAGAGTGGGTGCAGGACCAGCCACATGGAGTCAGACCAGAGGTTCGTTGAATCCATTACACTAACTCCAACATCACACATATATGTAGAGTACAAAAATAGTATCATCCCTTTTCATAAAAAAACCCTACTGCCATCATGTTTAAAATTATCTAACTCAATATTGTGGCAAAAGCACACACCCCTTCCCAACCTCCCTCAGATCTGGTCTACAGCAAGAAGGCTGAACAGAAGCCAAAGCTAAAACCAAAGCTTTCTGCCTGCTTAGTTTCCTCAGATGAACACAGAGAGGTAGGTGGGAATAGCACCTTTGAGAGGAAAAAAGATGGGGGGAAACTGGACCACAGACAGTCCTGTCCTGGATTGCCACAAATTGCCATGAATACGATCATGAAATAAGCTGGTCTAGTTTCCCTGTGACCTGCTGGCTTTCACACCCCATCCTGTAGTCAGAACCTTTGCTGAGCTATTTCAGCTCATTGCATCGCCAGAAAACCCAGCTAAAGATGTCCCATTCTTAACTGACTTCACAGACTGAAATGGCTCAGATAATAATCTGTAAATGCAGCTGTCAGAGGAGTTCAGACATAAATGAGACTTCAACCCAACATGCTAACTGGCTATCAGCAAAACACCCTATACCCCCAATAAAGCTCCCACTTCTAAACCAAGAAGTCCAAGCACAACCCAGAGAAAAATCAGCAAATCTTACTCATAGAGCCCTCAGAGCAAGAGTCACTCAACAGAGTTCTGTTACTTCACTATATTTTGTTCTTACATAGAACATTTCAGGATATGCCTCCAAACAAGGCAGCACAAATTCAATACAGTATCTCCCATATCATACCTCTGGCAGCCTTAACTCTCACCCTTGAAATCTGACCTAGCCTGTCCTGCGCCTGTTTAGGAGTTAAGAATCTGCACAAGCCAGATACTTAATTTTATCATCTTTCTACAGAGTTGAAAATAATACTAAAGAAACCTCAACCTGACAGGAGCACTGAAATCACCTGGACACTTTAAGAACCAGTAATGATACTCTTGTGTATCTGCAGTAGAATTTCAAAATTGAAATACCTGGAGCATCAGCACCTGGTAACTCTGCAGCCTGCCTTACTGGGTTTTAAATCAACCCAATTTTGCTTTTACAGTTAAGCAGGTATTATACCCAGAGGAACAGCACAACAACATGCACCCTTGAACTTTCATTTAATTCACTTCTGAAATGCAACGTGGCACTACTGCAGCCATCGGCAGACAGTCTAACGTTATGTAAACAATTTCAAAAGCCAAATGGATTAAGAATGCAGTAGAATAGATTAAGCATTAGTTTGGAAGAATAAGGAGTTTGCAGTTTCACTAAGTAAGAAAAAAACCAACAAAATATACAGGTTTTCAGAAGAAGCTGTCTGCTTTACGTTAACACTGGCAAGTTTTTACAAGCAGCCCCTACACCATCAAGATGTCTTACTGCCTTTGTTGAAGGCAAGCAACAAGGAGTCAAAAGACATCAGAAATTTTAAATCACCAAATTGTTCAATAAGCAAGTTGTGAGGTTGTTCATTCCACCATGAGAACTAGTTAGTCCCATCTGCCAGGATTGTTGGAACATAAGCTGTGCATTATCCAGCATTTCTTAACCCTCTTGCAAGCATAAAAAAATGAACGTAAAAAGAGAATAATCAACTACTTTCTCCCTCACACACCAACTGCAAAGCATAAGAGCTAAAAAAACCTTTAATAAATCAGCTTAAAGAGAGACTGCCTATCATATATAATGACTACATGTTATTTTTCAGTCAAAATAATCAAGCTACATAATGAATTTTTCATCAGTCTACTGTGGAACCCATGAAAGGTTTATAAAAATAATTATGTGCAAGTAATTACATTAAACACCATTACCCATTATTAACCATCTCACAACCACAGGATGAGTGTTAGTTTGTTATCGAGTGACCAGATATTGAGTCTTACTCTTTCTGCAGAGAGAGGCACTTCAGTGACATATTTGTGTCATGCAAGCTTCTCACTTATGGCTGTCAGTACCAATGCTGGATCATAGTTCACCTCCAGACACCAAGATATTGCTTTGATAAGCAGCTACATTCCTCTCAAAGCCAGAGCTCACTGACACAGAGTGCCTCAGCGGTGCTGTACTTCACCAGGAACCCATCCCTGTGCAGTTTCATTGAACTGAAACACCATTTGTTCTTTCACTTTTATTAAGTTCACTTAGGTTGACCGAATGAGCTTCCCTAAAGCAAACAGGGTTATAAAATATCAGGATGATTCTATCTTTAGGTGCTCCATAGAAACAAATACTTAGTTCAACTAGAAAACTTTAAAAATGACTTTAGATACAAAAGTGTAACAATTATACTGCGCGATACATCTTTATATATCACTAAACTCATGAAATTAAAATTTAAAAAGTTTTTGCACCATCAAGAACAGCCACAAGTCCTGAACCTCCATTCTTTACGCATCCTTTATCAGAGTAAACTGAAACTTGGGAATGCTTGGGATTCAAAATACCCTGAGCACATACTAGTGCAACACCACAAAGCATACATAATCCATCGGAAAAGGGGAAGGGGGAAAAGGAAAAAAAAATAGCAAGAATCAGATGGTGCTTTATTATACAAGCATGAAAGTAAGTTCCTTTGGAAAATAACTTCTTGGGTGGACTTCTGGACCAGTGAGGTAGCCCAATGGGAGAGAAAAAAAAGTGGAAGTGGAACTTGGTCCCCACGCGTGATACCTGTCAGGAGGCCCCAGCCCGGGGCAAGGCCGGGGCCCGGCAGGCCGCCCCCCGTGCGGCGGGGGGCCCGGCGCCGCCCGAGCGGCCCATAAAGTGCAGCAGCAGAACACGATCCAGACAAAAGCAATGTAAACAGGTGACTGATACCGGTCTCTTTGTCCGCACCGCGGCCAAGGTGAGGCGCGGGGAGCGGAGCCCCCGCGGGCTCAGGACGGTGCCACGGGGAAGCGGCGCACCCGCACCACGGGGGACAGGTCTACGCCGAGGATCCGCTGCGCCCGTCGCCGCGCCGCCGCCAGGCTCCGCCGGCTCCACATGCTGCCCCGCACACGGATGGTGGGGAACGTGGTGAGGCGAGGGGTGGCCGCCTTCCAGATCTCCTCCAGTGACTTGCCGCCGAACGGCTCCCAGGCGGCCGCCGCCGGGCTGCCCTGCTCGCTGTCCGCCTGCTGGCCCGGCGGCTCAGGCGCCTCCGCCGCCGCCTCCTCCTCCTGGGCGCGAGGGCCACCGGCCGCGGGCCGCTGCCTGCCCCGCTCCCTCCTGCGGCGCCGCCGCCGCCGCCGCCGCTTGGCGCTGCCGCCCGCCGCCCCGGCCCGGCGCTTGGGGTCGGCGGCCGGGAGGCGCCGCTTGCCGGCGCGGCGGCGGGGCCGCTCCGAGGGCGGTGGCGGGTCGGGGACGACGGCGCGGCAGGAGGAGTATCCGTAGACGTCCTTGCTGCGGAGGATGACCGGGGAGAACTCGTGCTTGAGGCTGCAGAGGAAGTTCCACAGCTCCGAGTCGGAGCTCATGAACTCCGTGGACTTGGGCATGAAGAGCCTGAGGGCGTCGCCCAGCGCCTTGGTGCCGGCGAAGGAGACCTGCGAGCGCGAGTACACAACTTTCTCCGCCTCCCCCTCCAGCCCCCAGGCGGCGGCCGCCGGTTCGCCGCCGGCTGCCCCTGCCGGCGTCGCCGCCCGGGCTCCCGCGGCCGCCGCCGCGGCGCTCCCCGCCTCTGTGTTCATCTTCCCGGCTCCTCTCTCCAGCGCCGCCTGCTTCCTACTGCGGGTCATGGAGGCAGCGGGACGGGGTGGCGGGACAGACGCCGAGAAGGCAGAGCGGAGGCAGCACCGAAGGCAGACTCCGGCCGCCGCCGGGGCGCCCGCCGGGTGTGAGCAGCGATCGATGTCCTGCGCCCAGCACAAAATGGCGCTTTAAAGTCCCGGGCGGGGCCTGTGCGCTCCCGCCCCCCCTGCGCCGCCCGTTGGTCCGTTCGAAACGCGTCGGGCGAGCCCGGCCCCGCCCCGCCGGGGGCGGTGGCCGTGAGGGCCGGGGGGCCAGAACCCCTGCCCCTGGTACCCCCTCTCCACAGAGCCCCCTGCCCCGGAGCCCCTCTGCCTCCGGAGCGGGGTCCGGCAGCAGCACCGAGCCGCGATCCCCGCGCTTGCAGAGGGGGCCCCTTCCCTCAGGGCGAGGCCCCGCATGGCGGGGTGAGAGCGTGTCCGCGTCGCGCCTCGCTGAGAGGTGAGGATCCTCACAGGGCGGTGGACAAAGGGGCTTGTGCTGTGAAACGTCTTGGAGTAAGGGTTTGATTGGACGCTTCGATGAGCAAACTCCCCGAAGGAGAAGCCAAGAGAGAACTGAGTCAAATAACAAAAATGGGCCAGCAGGCGTGATAGAGTGAAGTGCTTTAAATTAAGTACATCCGTCCTGTTGCAGAGTTTTTTAGCATGAACCTGTAGGTTGATCAGTCAAGAACATCATAAGTCACGGAATCGCAGAACAGTTGGAGTTAGAAGGAACCTCTGGAGGTATCTGGTCTAACCGCTGTGCTCCTTCATAGCCACCTAAATCAGGTTACCCAGTGGATGGATTTTGAATATCTCCAAGGATGGAGGCTCCTCTCTCAGCTGATCACTGATAGGACATGACAAATCAGAACAAAGCTGTGTGAGGGGAAGCTCAGATTTGATACCAGGAAAAAGTTCTCTGAGAGGGTGGTCAGTCACTGAACAGGCTCCCCACTGCAATGGTCACAGCACGAACCCTGCCAGAGTTCAACAAGCATCTCAATGACACTCTTTGTTATATGGTTTAGTTCTAGTTATTCCTGTGAGGAGCAAGCTGGACTCGATGATCTTTATGGATGCTTCCAATATCTCTGAGCAGCCTGTGCCAGTGCTCAGTTACCTTCAGTAACCTAAGTTACCTTCAGAGTAAAAAGGTGTTTGCTGGTGTTTGGAGGGAGCCTCCTGTGTTTCAGTTTGTGCCCATTGCCCCTGACTCTGTCAGTGGGCACTGCTGAGAACAGCCCAGCTCCATCCTCTCTGCACCCTCCCTTCAGGTATCTGTATAATCTGATGAGATACCCCTGAGCCGTCTCTTCTCCAGGCTGAACAGTCCCAGCTCACTCAGCCTTTCTTTACAGCAGAGGTGCTCCAGCCTCTGAATCTTTACAGCCCTTTGTTGGACTCTCTCCAGTGTATCCATGTCTCTGTTGTACCGAGGAACCCAGAACTGGAAAGTTCTCCAGGTGTGGCCTCACCAGCACTGAATAAAGTGGGAGGATCTCTCTCTCAAGCTGCAGGCAACACTTTGCCTAGTGCAGGCCAGGGTAATATTCACCTTCCTTGTGGCAAGGGCATGTTGCTGGCTCTTGTTTAGCCTGGTATCCACCAAGACCCCAGATCCCTTTCTCCCAAGCTGCTTTCTGTCAACACTGAGATACTTACTGCATCACTGGAATTGGCTTCATATCCCAACAAAGCATATCCCAAATGAAGCAGGTAAAACTTGGGTTGGTTGAGCCTGTTGTGAGAGTCACCACCTTGCTGAGTCCACAGCAAGGCATTACCTGCATGGCACTGCCACACTTGCAGCTTTTGCAGCACAATTTTGTCAGCTGTTGTGAAGTTCCATGTCCCTCTGGGTCATGCTTTCCAATACTTCAGATTGCTGTCACAGGCAGAGTGTCTTGTTATGTTCCTGGACTGCTGCAATTATACCAGAGCTCTTTCCAGCACCCAGAACAGCAAGGTGCCAGCAAGGGCAGAGGTGGTTTAACCTACTGTACAAATCCTATTTGGAGTTTGATTAGACTCCTAACTAATTACTTTCTCTCAGCATGGGTAAAGGAAGAGGAATAACATTTTTCTTCATAGACAGTCTTTGTTCTGTAATTAATCTTTCAGATTAGAATAGGGAAATCTTTTATTCTCAACTCATCAAGAACCTAAATTGGAATGTCTAGAAATCTAGTCAAGTAAGAGGCAGAAATTCTGCATAAGAAATTATTCCTTACTGCCAGTGGAAATGAATTAATTTTCTTCACAGGATAATTCAACTTGTGTTCGTGGGAAACTCAAGAATATTAATCCAAATAGCCATTTAAAGTGGATATTAACAAAGCTATTTTAAATCTTCATGGGGAAAGTCTTGAGGTATATTCTAAACCAGCTTTATAAATGACCCATTTTTAAAAAGAAACCTTTCCCAAAGTCATGGCGTTAGAACTGTTTATAATGGGATCCATTTCACTGTGTACTTTAGCATGCAGTCCTGTAGCCAGACTGGTTTAACTGAAGGAGGTGTCCTATAAAGCAGAGGACAAGAGCCTGGAGCTGGCAGCACCAGGGGCAGACAGCTCCTGACCCAGCTGTGCTGCTGTTGGTGGCACTCTGGCTGTCGGGTCACCACGGCTTAGGGGAGGCTCATCACCTGCTGGACCACAGAAGCTGCCCTGGGCTCACATTCCCGCTGGAGGCAGCTATAATTCAGCAGCTCAGCTGACAAATGGGCCCTCGTTAATCTGCAGAAACCCAGTTGCCCACTGACCATAACATTTTCCCAAAATTACAAACATTTCTGGCATTTGACTCAAAAATCATTGAGGTGGGGGGGGGAAGCTTCTCAAGCAAGCAGTAAATGAGTCACTACAACTGCAAGTAAAAAGAAAGATCAGCACATTTTATCATGTAGTATTTCTTCATTATTTTTACTTTGTAGCCTAATGGGTGGACAATACCCTTTTAAGGCACGGGATGTAATCTCACTTTTACAACTTCATTATGAGTTTTCTGCAGTGTAACACTCTTCTTTTAATACCCTACAAAGTAATCTCAAGAAAATCCATGGTAATTGCCTATCTTTTAGTAATTTCCAATAGCTCAGTACAGTAATAACAATAATAATAAAATTAATAATCCTTTGGAAGTGCATAGCTCTTCATTTCAATCGTACTACTTATTGTAAGCATTAATTACCACTCCCAGTACTCTTGAGTTATGTGAGTAAATATTGCCTTTCCTTAATAGATGAATAAAATGAAGAAGTGAATCAAAATGGCTTGACTAAGATGTATAGACTCAATTTTCTGCAGATCTTCTAACAATCATCATTCTAAAAATAGAGGAAATGTCCACATTGGAACAGAGAAGAGTAAAAAAACCCCTGTATTCTTTGTTTCCAATTATTTGTTAGAATTTCTTTTCTGTATTGAATTCTCAAGAAGGAAGAACAAAGTACCAATTGAGAAAGTGGTACACTAATTGCTGCACAATAGACACACTTAATTTTCTTTAACATTGCTTGCCTGGTACAAAAAAACCCCACTGGTGACTGCTAATTATTTTAAATGCTAACAATCTTATCTGTACAAATGATCACACAGTTTTGAGTCTTGCTGGTGAGCCCTTAAATCCTGGATATTAAGTCACATCCCTTCTGCTGACAGGACTTTTCCTTCAACATACTAAAGCTTGTCTACCCAGGTTAGCAAGAGCAGTCTTACTGTCCAATATCTTCACAGAGAAATACTCTTTCCTAGCATCTTTACTTTAGTTCTTGCGAGATTGCATTAACTGACATCCTTTAGCATATTTTCAGGAAAGTTTGTGTGGCGATGCAAGAATGACTCCACATTCCATTCACAACTAAACTTCACATGCTACCCAATAGTCATCAAGTTCCTAGGTCTGAGAAATGCCCAGACAAGTATTGGTAAAATTTCTGAAAATACTTTCAAAGAGAGACAAAAGCAAAAAATTTACAATAATTATTTCTCAATCAGTGGTAGGGGAGAAAAAAATCCTGAAATCACTGTCTGTAGAAATCACAGCTGCAGAAAAAAAAAAAAAAAAAAAAAAAAAAAAGAAAGGGTGTTGGGAATCACTATGAAAGGGATAGACAAAAATCCAGAAAACAGCATTCTGCTGAGTGCAAGTCCATTGTGCCTCCACAAATCTTGAATACTCTGCATTTCTAGTCTTACCATCTCTAAAAGGAAATAGCAATGATAAAAAGAAGGGCAACCAGCATGAGCAGAAATATGGAACAGCTTCTCTATGAAAAGAGATTAAATAGGCTAAGACTCTTCAGCTTGAAAAAACAGATGGCTGAAGAAGAATATGATAAAGGTTTATAAAATTGTGGTAGGACAAAGAAAGCAGATAAGAAATTATGATGTCTTAGTTTTCATAATCCAAGAATGACAGGGAAGCACATGAAGCTATAAAGCAGAAAACTTTAAATGACCAAAAAGGCATGTGTTGGTTTTGTTTTTTGTTTTTTTGTTTGTTTTTTTTTTTGGGGGGGGGGGGGGTTCATAATTAGTTTGTAGAGCTCATTTTTCAGCAAAGTTGTGGATCCCAAAATGGAAAAATATACCCCAGTACCTTTGCAGTCGTTAAAGAGCACACTATTCAAAAGTATTAGACATGATTGTAAGAAAATATCCCTCAATAGCTCTTGCACATGAAAACCGTGGGCTCAGAAAGGCTCTAAGCCAAAGGCTAGGAAAGGAAGGAAGGAACAATGTAACTGTGGAAGTAACTATCAGTGTTTGCATCATTCTCACATTCTTTCCCTAACCTTCCTCAGTTTTGAATTCCAGCATAAGAAATATGTTGCTCAAGAACATGATTCTCACACATCACAGATCATGTCATTTTGTAGTATTGATTACATTGTTTCCCGAGGCACTCTATTTAAAGTACCATCACTGTTAAAACAAGTGTGAATTTCATTCCCTTGTCTCAAACCAGACAATTTTTAAAGCCTACTACCAGTTATTTTAAAACCTGATTAATTAAATCTTATTTCTTGATACCATGTGGCTGAGCATGTCAATTAATGAATTCTTTTTGTAATACTCTTTGGCCTGTGCTGCCATTTTCCTTCCTACCACATTTGCGGATTACCAGATGAGCTAACAGGACAAATTCACT